GACTAGGGATTCCTGCAGTTCGAAGGTGCTTCTCGGATTCTTCTCTTGTCCTTTGTTACTCATTATGTAGTGTCTCAATCCTCTCCCTTCGAAGATAGTTCATCACCTGAAGTAATGAAATAAAACCTAATATGTATTTTCAATACACGTAGAATAAAATTTCATCTTTATTTTACACCTTTTGCATAGAGTGCATGAATATTAGCAACTTTTGTATCTCTGTGGTATAGAGCAGAGCTATCCTGGAATGTGCACTGGTCAGCTCCACCGAAGTGATCCCAAATTGTTGGTTTTAACCAAAACTCGAGGACCTTGGTGTACTTGTTTGCATTGACAGTGCCTTTTACAAAATGCAGGTGTTCCACACACTGGCCAGAGATGAATCTCTGTATCACGTGACCCTGTGAATGCTTCACAGTTGCATTATAACACGTGCAAGTTGAACTTTGATTCATCTGAGAAGATCACTTTACAATATATTACTTTAGTCCAGTCAACATGTTCTTTAACCACCTGATGTCCTAAAAAGTGCTTCCCATCAGACCCGTGCAAGTTGAACTTTGATTCATCTGAGAAGATCACTTTACAAGTGCAAGTTGAACTTTGATTCATCTGAGAAGATCACTTTACAATACATTAGTTTAGTCCAGTCAACGTGTTCTTTGACCCAGTTGAGCCTCATCTTGTTAGCGAGGGTAATTTTGTCTTGGTAGTCTTGCTGGGAGACCGACTGAACATTGGGCTGTTGAAAAGGACGTTGGGAAACCATGGTCTTCCTATTATATAAGCAAACAGGGAGAAAGGTCCTGTAAACATAACAGCTTTAAAACGGAGACTTTTGCATTAAAAACTACGCTGCAGGAGTATTAGCAAGATGCATTTTCGTCAGATAGAACGTGACCAGACATAGTTATATGGACTGTAACAACGTAGTGAGCCTCCAAAAATCATTTTATTACGGTGTAATCAATCTTTGCTTAAGAGATATATTTTAATAATCGTTCAAGCGTTAATATAATGCTTACTTCCTGGATATTCAAAATACATTTATCCACACATATGTAAGCATGCGGAGACACATACTTATCACAAATTATGAATAAATTTCAAATAACCTTGTTCATATAATAAAGTTAGAGAATTTTCTAGGTGGCCCTGATAAATACAATGATTAGTCGCATCTTTAACGTTATTTTTATCACGTTAGTTAACAAGTTATTCACTTACTGATGTCTAAAAAGTGCATATTTAATAAGCTTGAGTATTTTATCCCCTGAATAAGTATCACTTTAGAGTGTATCATCCTGTACCAGGTTTGGTACTCAGCCATTTATTGTTAATAATACTTTGTTGTGGGACTTATAACAATTTATTTCATTGCCTTGTAATACAAGTTAACTTTTCTACGATTTGTTCTCAAAATCTCTAGGCCAAACGTATAGTATTTTGTAGTTTACTATAGTATTATGTATGTTTCATACATATATAATAATATTGAAATGTATAATGCATGAGATAATGTCTACTTGAAACGTGCGCAATATACAAATCCTCCATCCATTTCACAGTAATAACAAGTAGCCTTTGCCTTGAAAAATTTGTAATCTATAAAAGAGAAATAACATATAAGTAAAAATAGTGTAACACTCAGCTACTATTTGGTTTTCTAGTCGTAAAGTGATGTTAGTCTGTTATTTTTTCTTTTCGTCGCACGTACATGACCTTGCTGCTGTGAGCAGGTTATGTACTTTGATTTTTGTCATTCGCCAGGGTTGAACACGTTCAAAGCAATGTAAAATATCGTAAAAACTTATGAACTGAATAAAATGTTTACTTTCTTTCCCTTTCTTGACAATAATAGTAGTGAAAATCTCACATGCCAGCGCTACTTAAGCTTTATTTGGCTTTGAACATTAATTTAACGTATGGTGCAGGTTTCATAACAAAAGTTTAATTACTTGTGAGGTATATCACACCTCTGATTTGAATTTTTGACCAGTCGCATGCATTAAAATAATGAAATCCTTTTAAACAATAAATTACTACTGTTCATTATTAAACAACAAAATAAAATTGCTGCAATAAGAACAAAATTACACAAAATAAAGCAATTTTGTGTTCTCCTCTACCAGGTTTATAAAGCGAATAACTTTCCAGAAGAAAATGCACTAATTAAGTGCACATTTCCAAAAACTGGTAATGATTCTACTCTTCATATTTATTGTTTTTCAGCATTTAACTTTATGAGTATTTTCAAACACTCCAGTAGAAAAGTTAGAGATGAAATCATCAAGTGTATTAGTAAACGAATTTCCATGTTATGTAAAAAGAAATCCTTTTAATTTACATATTTGTTAAAACTACATTGGTTTAACCTTTTAAGGCAGATCCAATTTAGAAATCAAATTATTTTTAATATATTATTTAAAATATCACATTTACCATTTGTTATTTTACATTTGCACCTCCTTAACAAAACCAGGTAAAATAAAATTTATAATCCAGTCTCTGTGCGCATATAGTCGTCTTTATGAAGAACATATATAGTCCGGTGTTTGTGCGCATATAGTCGTCTTTATGAAGAACATATATAGTCCGGTGTTTGTGCGCATATAATCGTCTTTATGAAGAACATATAGTCCGGTCATTGTGCGCATATAGTCGTCTTTATGAAGAACATATAGTCTAGTCTATGTGGACATATAGTCGTCTTTATGAAGAACATATATAGTCCGGTCTTTGTGCGCATATAGTCGTCTTTATGAAGAACATATAGTCCGGTCTTTGTGCGCATATAGTCGTCTTTATGAAGAACATATATAGTCCGGTCTTTGTGCGCATATAGTCGTCTTTATGAAGAACATATAGTCCGGTCTTTGTGCGCATATAGTCGTCTTTATGAAGAACATATATAGTCCGGTCTTTGTGCGCATATAGTCGTCTTTATTGAAG